CACCGGTGAGTCCCCGCCCGCGCTGGGGGTGGGCTGAGAGAACCGGGCTGGTTCAGCCTGGAGAAGGGAAAGAGCCTTAAGGGGAGACCTTAGAGCAGCTCCAGTGCCTGAAGGGGCTGCAGGAAACCCGGAGAGGGGCTTGGTACAAGGGCCTGTAGGGACAGGCCAAGGGGAATGGCTTGAACCTGCCCGAGGGGAGACTGAGCTGAGCTCTTAGGCAGAAGCTCTTCCCTGTGAGGGTGCTGAGGCGCTGGCACAGGGTGCCCAGAGAAGCTGTGGCTGCCCCATCCCTGGCAGTGCTCAAGGCCAGGTTGGACACAGGGGCTTGGAGCAAGCTGCTCCAGTGGAAGGGGTCCCTGCCTGTGGCAGGGGTTGGAGCTGGATGAGCTCTAAGGTCCCTTCCAACCCGAACCAGGCTGGGATCCCATGAATACCACGTGGAGCAGGCTAATACTGCCAAACAAGTAAATATTTCACCAGTTTCCCACCACTCCCTGCCCAGGAGGTGTTTCATCCCTTTTTAACTTTTATCCAGTGACACATCAAGTATTCTCTGATTAGTGCTCTCCACCCAGCATCTTATCCAGGCCTGAGTTAGTGTTAAACGTTCTCTGTGCTCCACAGATCCCATCTCCAAGGTCCTGCCAACCCAACAGAGACAACAACGAATCCCTCCAGTATGAAATTGAAGAGCTGAAGCAGAAGGACCTTGCTCTGGACCAGGAAATTGCACAATTATTGTCTGAGTATGTCCTTGGCAAGCTCTGTGTTCACTCTGATGCCTCCTTTGTTCTGAAACACAACCTGATGCGGGGGTTAGAGCCAAGAGCTGACCTCCTGTGAGCCTGGCTTTATGGTGCTCTGCAGTGCTGGTTATGGTGTGGGTTTGATTTATGGGGCCTGTTAAAGACAGGAGGGAGTTCTTTCTGCTGTATTTGGTGAAGCAAAGCAAGTTTGACCGGGAGCTTGCGAAAGAGGGTTTTAACTTTACCCCAGATGCTGTTGAGGTGATTCATGTGGATATGGGAATGGATAATTTTAACCATGAGGATGACACAACCCTGGGAAAGCTTGTTCCTGTGGGAGTTAAGATGGAGATGATGAATTGCATGACCTGCTGCATTTATCCCAGATAAAACTGTTTCCTTTCCTGTTCCATCTTGATCAAGGCTCCACTTATGTTGTGCCTGAGGCGAGCGGGTTAAGCCTTCATATCAAGAAGCTGAGGTGTTTGCCAGGCAAGCAAGTGGCCTGTAGAATGCTTTGGCTTGATGGGTGCTGCATTACAGGGTAGTGCAACCGTGTCATTGTGGTTTCTGATGACACACTGTGGCAGCTGCTTATTAGCAACTGGGTTGAGATAAGATTGCTGCTTGGTTTGAAAGAGAGGAGGGAGCCTCTGGGGTACCGGATGCAAAGGGGTGGTATTTTCTAGGGTAAAAGGTAGAGCATAGAATGGGAATGGTGGAACAGAGGTTGTTCCAAAAGCTGTTTTATCCTTAAGCTTAAACAGATGTTCATTCCTTTCCCTAGCTGTAGGTTAGAGACACACACAGCTTGGGTTCACCACTGCCTATTCCTGTTTCTGCTCGATTTTGGGTGGATTTATTCTGCTAAGTCTTGATGTGGCCAAAACCCCTCAAACTGAGCTTGCGCCAACTGAACTTGTTGCCTTCAGGCTCTGCTTTTGAGGTGGCAGGCTTGGACACCTCTAACCCCGTCACTGTGCTGGGGCAGTGGGAATCCCTCTGTGTTGTTTTGACCTCTCTGGTTTTATCCTTACAGAGGCTACAGCCTGGAGGAACTGGAGACGCACATCTCTCTGCTCCACGAATATAACGATATTAAAGATGCTGGGCAGATGCTGCTGGGCAAACTGGGTGAGGAAGGGGAAATCTATTGAAGAACTTGATGGTGCTTTCATATAGACAGAGAGAAGCTGCTGGGTTCTTTGCTGTGGGAGGCTCTGTGGGACAGGGGCTACTGGGATGCAAACAAAACTCTTCTGACTGACCTGATCTCTGCTTCGTGAAAGCAATGGTGTTTCTTTCTTTTCTAGCTGTTATCCGAGGGGTTACTACAAAGCAGCTCTACCCCGAGTATGACTTGGAGCTTAGTGACTAGTGTTGAACCTCGAGACTGCCACGTCCTGCAGAAATGACTGTTACTGAGCTCTTACGCTTTGTTGTATTGGTTTAGAACGGACATAAGGTGGCCTTGGAAGTATGTGTGTAGAGCTGCAACAGAGCAGGGGTTAACAGCCTTCTTTCCAAGAAGCTTTGAACATGAAAGTAGTTGAATCTATCAGCTGTTTCCTGCTTGTGGGAAAGGGATGTAGGGCTTTGGATAACTTGTCTACTACCTGATTAACAGTATTCCTTTATGGGAAAGGTTGTAATTCCAGGTGGTTGGTGTTAAGACTGTTCCCATGGAGTCTTTGCTTCTCTACTGCATCCAGCAGCTATTTGGTTACTGGATGTATAGAGGAAGTGAGGGCACACATGGGCAATGTAATAGTTGCTTTGAAAGACAAGAAAAAGCCCTCAGAAGTAGGAAGAATTCTGATGTGGTTTGGTTTATGATCCAGTCTGGGTAGCTCTGAGTGTTCTGTATTATGTACTCTGGTATCTAGAGGTTCTGTATCATTTCTGTAGCAAATGGCAAAATGTGAAGTTGTGTGGAACTGTCTGAATAAAGCAGCTATCACATTCCTCAGTAATTCACTGTAAAAGCCTGTAAACCATTGCATGAACTGGGGACAAATCCTTCAGCTGTATTCTGAGACATCTATAACATCCATTATTCAAGTGTTTTCTGAGGACTCTTAATGGAGCCAGCGTGGCAACACTACCCAGCAGTGGGTAGGTGCAGAATTACCTTTAGTGTCTTCTAAATGCAGAGTCACTGTGGAAATGAGAGGTGCCCTAAACACAGAATGTACCTGGAGAGCAGGAGTGTTTCAATGTCAGGCTTAGGGTTGACGGTGACTGCACAGCCTAAATTTGGCTGCTTTGGGCAGTTCCAAGTGATGGAGCACCCTGCTGACTGCGGAGCTGGTGTCCCTTTTTCACTCAAGCTTGATGTCCTTCTGCCCATTTCTACTTTCAAAGACTTTCTAACCAGTAAGTGTCCGCCCTGCTCTCTTGCTGCAGTCTCTGCTCCTTATTTCCCCATTTAAATCAAATGAATCTGTCACCAATTCTGTGCTTGGAAACCAGGGAACAGTCACAAGGCTGCTGCTGAGAACAGGTAATTGTCTCTGTGCTCTTGGTTCTGGACCAGGCACACAAGCATCACTGACAAGAATCTTGTTCTGCCACAAAAGCTGTGGGGAAGGGTCTAAAGCAGTGGATGGACAAAGCCTGTGTCTCCTGGGGTGTATTCCAGCAAGTCCAGCTGTGCTTCTCTGGAGGGTTTTTACTGTGGCTATGTAAGAACACTCTCTGGGGTACAGGTGTCTCCTCCCCACCATAACCCCTCCCTTGCTAAGTGTTTTAGGAGGAGTTTTAAGGGGAGGAATAATATCACAAGGTAGCCAGGACTGGGAAATGCTCTCTTTGTTCTCAAATGCCCACTGCTGTTCTGGCTGGTATTTTGTGTGCGGAAGAACCAGTTTAGCCTGGAGTGTTCCAACCCAAATATTGGCCTGGCAATGGCACACCCAACTGGAAGTGGGGTTTTTTTTTCGCAATGGGATGTGTGTACACAAATTCCTTCTGTTAGTGTTAGGTGTAAGCCATGGGGGCTGAAGTATTCTCCATTACCAAAGCAGCTGAAGGGTATTTAAGCACTGAGAAGTCCCACGTTTTCTTCCCCTCCTTGTAGGAGCACAAGGATTTGGGGCTGTTCAGCCTGGAGAAGAGAAACTGCGTGGAGACCTCATAGCAGCCTTCCAGTATCTGAAGGGGGCCTATAGGGATGCTGGGGACGGACTCTTCATTAGGGACTGTAGTGACAGGACAAGGGGTAACGGGTTAAAACTTAAACAGGGGAAGTTTAGATTGGATATAAGGAGGAAATTCTTTCCTGTTAGGGTGGTGAGGCACTGGAATGGGTTGCCCAGGGAGGTTGTGAATGCTCCATCCCTGGCAGCATTCAAGGCCAGGTTGGACGAGGCCTTGGGTGACATGGTTTAGTGTGAGGTGTCCCTGCCCATGGCAGCAGGGTTGGAACTGGATGATCTTAAGGTCCTTTCCAACCCAAACTGTTCTATGGTTCTATGATTAAGACTTGCAGCTGTAGCTGTGCAAGTGCCTGGCTCCAGAGCTCACACTTCTGCAGTGATGGGTTTAAGCTTCCCTTAGCACAAGGCAGTTGTCCATGGAAGGTGCCCTGATCCCAGCTCATCCACAGATGATGAATGCTTACAGAACCAGTGAGCTATGAGCAATCTGCCCTTGGGGAGTCCCATGGCCCTGTGCCACGTGGTGGCACCTACACTCCACTGCTGCTCTGTGCAGAGCAGGGAAACACAGCTGAATGATTTGGGGTCTAAGTTAATGATGTGTGGGGTGCTCCAGGACAGGAGTGCACACACAGGTACTTCACTGGGACTCCCTTTACTGCTCCTCCCAAAGTTACCTCTTGCACCTTAGTGGCTCTCATCTGGAGGATGGGATAATGCTGGGCTTTGTCCAAATGCAGGAGAGGAATAGAACAAATCATCTGCTTTCTATAAATACATCTCCATACTCACTAATTGTCAGCTGGAGGAATAGTGAGTGTATTGAGTGCAGTATGAACTGTAACTTCAGTTTTAACTTGGATTTAGAAAGTGTTTCTGCTAAGTCAGACCCAGCTGTAACGAGCTAACGGGGAACAAGTGGTATTACAGAGCTCCACTGACAGGCAGTACATGCTGTCTGCATGGAGCTGCTGCAGAGCAGGATACCAGAGACCTCCAAACACCCTTGGTTCCCTGGGGAGGGGGGAAAGCACCCTCTTTTTGAATGAGTCAGTGTATTGGTGGATGAGTAGAGCCAAGAACCAGCCTCTTCCCCTTTATCCTCCCATTTAGGGCACTTTCAGTTTTATTTCTTGTGTATCTTACACACCAATCTCTATTACAAGGCACTTTCCCATCGCTCACGCCTACTCTGGATATAACTGTTTCCTTGCATTGCTTTGTGTAAGCTGCGTTCCCTCCAGCACATCCCTCTTTTAGTCTGATTTTGAGCTCCTCAATGTCTGAAAGCAGGGCTAATAGAAAGAGAATGCTTTAGGACAACAGAGGGAAAACAAAGTGGGTAAGTTCTGCTGCTCGCTGCAAGGAACAAACAAATCTGTGCAATCAAGTGACTGCAGCTCTCCAAGGCGCTGTTTCCTGCTGCTAAACAATTTGGGGATGGGGTTTGATATCCGTTAGCAACCTCATGTTCCCAAAGTCACCAGGAATCTTGGCACAGCTCGCTCCTGTTAATGAACTGTTTGCAAGGCTTGAAGAAAATAACACAGCCTGTCACTGGGAAACTGCCTCCCTGCTTCAAGCCATCTCAAGAAGGGTGGAAGCGAACTGCAATTAACCTCCTTCCTACTGCTGCCCATCACCCTGTCAGCGTGCAGCTGCGTTACGGTGCTCCAGAGATTGCTTGTGGATGTTCCCTGCATTGCACGCACTCAGCTGTCGGCAGCGTGGGCCGCCTCCGCATCCAGCTGAGGCAGGGCACTGTCATCCTGATGGCCCAACGTTCTCTCTATCTCTGCTTGCACCTTGGACTGGCAGCTCCAAATCGCACTGCGAACATTCTGCAGGCTCCACTGGCTCCTCAGGAGAGCATCGTCCAGCGTGAAGACCCCGTCGCGTGTCCTGCGCACTTGTGTGCACACCGCGGATGACTTCAGCTCCAGACCTATCTCATGGACCACCTTCCGGAGGTACTGCTGGGTCTCATGCATGCAGTGGATTTCTGGAGGGACAGAGAGGCAAACTCAGCCCTTGCCTGTTAATGCAGACATCAATCCCAGTCGTGCTGAAGAACTGGTCTGGAAGAAGAGGCTGTTTAAGGTACAGCACAGGGGGACTGGGGTTTTCTGGAATACTTCAGAGTGTCCTAACCCCCACCAAAGTGAACGTTTTAGAAACAAACCCATAGATACAGGAGTAATGTGGAAACAGAGGTATTTCAAAGGGGATAAGAAAAGGTACCTTTTGAATAAGCCAATTTACGAGGAGTAGGAGACTGGCTGCAGCAAAGCAAACCCTGCTTTAAGAACAAAACCAACCCAACACAAATGCACTGCACTGAACCATTGGGATAGGGAAGCATTTTGTTGCAGGAATAAGAAACTCAAGTTTATTTGCTATAACACATACACAGGCTTCCCCATTATATATATTTGGTACCTACCTAGCTGGAACTCTGGAGGTGCAAACTGGAGGCATCGGACTGCTGTGATTATGGGAGGGCTTTTCCCCATGGGGCGAATCAAGCCTCTGACAGCCAGCTCGTAGGCCTCTTGTGTTTTCATATCGATGTTAGAATGCCTGCAACAAGACCAAAAGGGAGCAGCACTGACACTGAGCACTTCCATTTGATGGGACTCAAAAACATCCCCACCCCAAGAAAGCAGAGCTGCAGGTTTTATTCTTACATCTGTGTGTTGAGGTTTTGCACACATCCTAACGGTGTCTGTACTGGCACAGTGTGGCATAGCTTGAGAGGGAGGTACTGGGTCAAGTCTACAAGACATTTGTGTGCCCATTGATGCAGCTAACGGGTCCTAAAATAGCTGGATGTTCAGGATACAATAAGGACACTTAACTGTGACCTCTCACCGCAGTACAGAGCACTCTGTACTCTTCTCTCTGTTCCTGTCTAGCACTCCAACCTTTAAAGGCTTTGATTATGGCAAACAAGATCATCTCATTTAAGGACCAGCAAATGGCAGTTGGATACCTACATCAGCAGGGCCTTATGATTCGTTCCTTGAATGACAGCGAGAATCCGTTCCAGCTTCTCCCTTGTGATATGATCTGCAGATAGAAAAGTAGAAAGGAATCTCCATTATCCCTCCAGAAACTGGGAAGAGGCAGCGGATGGGATGTGCTGTCAGGGTACGGCTGCTCCTCCTGCAGGCATCAGACCAGGCTGATGGGAAGTGCCAGAGGTGGCTTTAGCAGAGTCACTTCTGGCTGCACCACGGGGATGCACAGAGCAGCAGTGCTTGACCACAGAGGCAGGAATCATTTCCTTTAACTGATTTCAAAACCTTGGCTCCAGTTTTCCCTTATCAGGTGTTGAAGAGTTTCACTGGACAGCTTCTAACCCCTATCTCTGAGTGTGACTTATGGAGAGCTCTGGGCCCCACGCACTCCAGCAGCAATCACTGCGCTCAGGACTCATCCTGGCTTTGTGCTGTGGCTGTCTTTACAAACAGACAGACTAACACCTCACCCTGCACGTGGGCTGCATGTAAATGTAACGCCTAGAAAGCAGGGAACCCTTTAGCACTGGAATTCACCCTGCAGGCGGCACACTCTTTGGTGCTCGGATTTTGGTAGTTTTAAACCCACATCCATTCAGTTCCTTACCAAATGTCGTCTTCTCCACCAGCTTCCCCGTGTCCGAGAAGTCATCGGTGGCTTTGCCGAACAGCCCACCGACGGTGTAAGCCTTGAAGGAAGGCAGAGAGTGCAAGTGAGCACAGAAACACTCCAAGTTATTGAGCAGCAATACCGTGCCATGGTGCTGTGAGGAGGTGCAGGCTCCAGCAGCATCCTCTGCTCACGGGAAGGATGAAGTCCTGGACCCAAAAAGCTCTCAAAAGCATTGATGGGTTTGAGGCTCGAAGCAGAAGGTCCGAAGGCCCAGCTGTGCCCCGGGGCAGGAATCAAATGTGATTGCACTTGGATATCCTGAGGCTGCTGAGAGCCAACACTTACCCTGCTCAGGTGGCAGTTGTACAGGTCGGTGAGCAGCTTGTTCCCATGGCCTATGCCAAGAACTGAAACACAGAAGAAGGGAGGGAACCCGTTATTCAGCCACATGGGAAGTTACTGATGGGCGCTGCCCGCCCTGATCAGGGCCACATCTCCATCAGAAGTCACATCTGGGCCCTGCAATCAGCCCCCCAACCACCCCCTCTCATTAAACCTGCAAGGCTGTGACCGGGGCTCTCCCCTTGCCCCAGAACCTTCCACCCTCAGCACAGACCCTCAGTGAGGCCGTTTCCGATGGGGTTCAGTGGTGGGAGCTTGGTGCCCCCCAGCAGAGCCCCACGTGCAGGGGGAAGGGGTCGCCCCCATCTCCTGCCATTGCTGGGGTCCTGGGGGATCTTTTCTCCCACGTCTTAGCCCAGAGGGTTCGGGTTCGGGTTGGGGTTGGGGCCCAGCGCCCGCCGCCTCCTCCCCACACGCACTCCCATCACCTCGCGGTGCCCCGGGGACGGGACCCACCGAAGACCCCCGACGCCTTCACGTCCAGCCGGTGCCCGGCTCCCATCTTCAGCCGCCTGAACCGCGGGCCTCGCACTGCAACGGACACCGCGTCAGAGCCCGCACGGAGGGGCTCCCCCCGCACACCCGAGGCCCCGCTTACCGAGGGGGTGCTCGGCCAGCACCGGCACCAGGGTGGGCACCAGCTCGGTGCCACCATCGCGGCCCGGGGTCGGCAGGAACCGGATGCGCTGCGGTAGGGGGCGGCCGGGGCCTGCGTTGAGCTCTGCAAGGGAAGCGCTGGGTCAGGGGCAGCCGGTAACCGAAGGGGGGGGGATCCCCACCGCCGGTCCCCACCGCTCAGCAGCCGCGTCTCCACCGCGTCGCGGACGCGGCCCCACGCCACCCCCGCCGGTTTGTACACGGCGAAGAGCCCCGCGGGCACCGCTCCCGCCGCCATTGCGCGCTCCCCGCTCCGCTCTGCTCCGCCCCGGTCGCGCAGCCCCGACGGGAGCTTCCGGCGCCGGGGCTGGAGGCGATGCTGCCGCTGCTGCTGCGGGCGGCGGTGAGGGCCCCGCTGCTGCGGGCGGGTTCCGGTGCCCCAGGCAAGTGCCACAACCCCGGTCCTGTTCCCCGTGGGCAGCCCCGGGCCGGGTCCTCACCCCCCCTCCCCGCAGGCAGCGCCGGTCTGAGGCACAGCGAGCGTTGGGCACGGCAAGGACACGGGGAGGAGGAGGAGGAGGAGGATGGGGATGGGGGGTGCTACCGGCTGTACCCCGGGCACATCCCCACCAGCCCGCTGCAGAAGGCGCTGCTGGCGGCCGGCTCGGCAGCCATGGCTCTGTATGACCCCTACAGACACGGTAAGCGCAGCCAGGGAGCTCCTTAACACCCAGCGCCCTTGGGAGCATCCCCGCTCTCCTGCGTGTTTCTGTGTTCCTGCTGCTGTTGGGGGAGGCGTTCACTGGTGCAGCAAGCACAGAGCAGTGGAAAAGAGGGGCTGAGGGACCCCGAACACCCCCCAGTGCTCTCCTGACTCCCCACGGTGCCACCCAGCCCCATCTCATTCCTCCTCGGTCCCCTCCCCAGGCCTCACGCCTGCTCCTGCATCCCTCCATGCGGGTGGCCCCATGGCAGAGCCCCCCCCCCGAGGCTGAAGATCCACGGTTTGTGGGTCCCTGCTTGGCCGCAGCCTGCTCCCAACCCCATTGCTCACCATTGCCAGGGGCTGTTGTGGAACCAGCGCTTGGGTCACTCTCTGCCCTCTCTTTCAGACATGGTGGCAGTGCTGGGGGAGACCACGGGCTGCCTGGCGCTGCCCAACCTGCGCGACAAGATGAGGCATCACCCCGAAGGCTACCGCATCCTCCAGTGCGTCCCTCGCATCCCTCCCTGGCCCTGTGGGTTGTGGTGGGGAGGGAGACACGAGGCCCAGCACGGCCCTGTGAAGGGAGAGCACAGGAGTTTGGCAGCTCTGAGCCTCCAGTTTTACTCCATCACAAGAGCCCTGTGGCAGTCTGAGGGTGAGAGCAGCAGCAGCCGCTGGGCCCAGCCCTGTTTCACACTGTTCTGCTTCACTGCTGGAACTGGCTGGTGCCAGCGCAAGGAGATGCAGCAGCAGGCGCAGGGGAGGCTTCCGTGGATGCTGAGCACTGATAAAACCCCCCCACATCCATGGGTTTCTCCCCTGTGCCTGCTGCTGCATCTCCACATCGGAGGCTTCCTCTGCACTGGTCTGCCTGCTCCTCACACACCTCCCTGCTTGCTTCCCTGGTGCCTGCAGCATCTCCCCAGGCTGTGAAACGAGGCCACTTCCCATCTTCCTTGTTAAGCCTTGATCACTTCTGTCTCCATGTCCACAGGGACTTGTGGAGCGCAGCAGGGCTGAGGGCCAGGAGGGACTTCATGAGCCTCTTATTAACCAGAATCCTACTGCTTGTTTGCTCGCCTCTCCCCACTCCTCATTACGTATCAAGGCTGCTGCCTGTGTAGCGTTTGGGATGTCCCGTTGGGATGTAGGAGGTGGAGAAAAGCTGCCTTTTGCCCTGTGTTTGTGCAGAGCAGCCTGGTCCTGGCTCCGTGCACTGACCCAGCAAAGCACCTGGAGCACCAGGATGGGGCTGGGACCCAGAGGAGAGGGGACAGCAAAGGCACCAAGGGAAATCCCCCTGCTCCTTGCCCTGTGTTGCTCCTTTGAAGCCCAGGCTGCTTTGCAGGGACACCGAAGGGCTCTGACTCTGGCCAGCAGCAAGGGTTCAGTGCAGAGGACACCGGTGTTTCCCAACCAGAGCTGCTGCAGGGGTGCAAGGTGAAAGCTCTTTTATTGCCCAGGCTTTGGGTAGCGCCTGTAAGCAGTTTGTGTGCCAGCCTCAGCAGCAGGGATGAGGATGGTGCTGTCCGTGTGAGGAAGGGCAGAGGCAGGCAATGGGGTTTACAGGGACTCCCTTTCTCCAGGACCGGGATAGGGGTTTCACTGAGCTGTGTTTTGCTTCCAGGGAGCGCCCCCGCATCCGTCTCTCCACCCTGGACATGTCTCGGCTGCGGGGGCTGCCGGATGGGTCGCTGGGCAGGGAGTACGTCCGCTTCTTGGAGGACAACGTGAGTGTGGGGTTCAGAGGGTACCCTAACCCTAACACTGTGTCCCTGGGAGCACAGATTGGCTTTAGAGGGAGGTTGGAGCAATGGAGGAACGTGTGGGGAACCCTCCAGGAGTGAGGGATTGGGGAGATGGGATGGATGCTGGTGTTGGATGATGCTGGATTTGTCACCAAGGAGCAGACCTTGGGTTTTGTCTATGTAAATGATGCTTCCTCCTGTCACTGGGGACTGGGAGTTGTGCTGATGGAGAGAACCACTGATAATGATGATGATAACAAGAGAGGTAAAACCCAACAAGTGATGCAAATGAAAAACAGTTGCTCACCACCAACCAATGCCCAGCCTGCTCAGTAGCCAGTTTATGTTCCAACCATGACACCATATGGTGTGGAATATCCCTTGGATCAGCTGGGATCAGCTGTCCCAGCTGTGTCCTTTGTGCCTCCGCAGCCTCCTCGCTGTCAGGGCAGCAAGAGAAGGGGAAAAGTCCTTGACTTAGTGTAAACACGACATAGCAACAACTAAACCATCAGTGTGTTAGCGGGGTTCTTGTCATCCTCAATCCCATCCATAGCACTGTACCTGCTGCTAGAAAATTAACTCTACCTCAGCCAAAACCAAGCCAGACTTGAGGTCTGGAAGGGGCTGCACCGGACCCCTTTGGATTTGCAGAAGGTTTCTCCGGACACCCGGATGCCACCCAAGTTTGTGGATGATGAAGAACTGGCGTACGTGATCCAGCGATACCGAGAGGTCCATGACGTGATGCACACCCTCCTGGGCATGCCGACCAACATGCTGGGTGAGCAGCAAGGGGCTGCAGGGCCAAACCCCACGGTAGTGCTGGGCTGGTTGGACTCCTCAATCTCAGCCCCATTTGGTGTGGGAGGAGGTTTGGACCCATGGCGCAGTGCCCCACTGGCTCTGTGGTGACCGGGAGGCCACAGGAAGTCACCTTTTCCCTGCTGGGAGATGCTCAGCCCGAGCCCGAGGTGCTGTTGATGGGTGTTTGCTGCCTGGCAGGATGGGGGACACAGGGCGGGGGGACCATGTTTCGCAAGCTGCGGGTGAAGGCACAAGCTGGGGGTTCCGGGTTGTTCCTCATCTCCACATCTGCCGTGTCCTTTGCCCTCGTTTTGTCTCTGACTCAGTAGCAAGCTGCAAGTCAAGCCCTGCTGGTGCCTGTGGGAGCTGGCACGTTGGGGCTCTGACACAGGCTGTGCCCAAGCCCTGGCAGCGTGTGGAAAGGTCTGTCCTGTCCCAAGGGACAGGGAGAGCCATGTGTGGGATCAGGATGCAGCTACTGCATTGCTAAAGATGTGCAGGGAGCCCAGAGGTGTTTCCCGAGCTCATGGGACATCGATGAGGGTGCCATGAGTTAATGGTGGCCTTGGCAGTGCTGGGGTAAAGGTTGGATTCAATGATCTTAAAGGTCTTTTCCATCCTGGTCGATTCTGTGGTTCTATGGCTGTGGGGTGCTGCTCTCACGGCGGCCCTGAGCATCCCTCTTTGGCGGGTGATGCACAGCAGCGCACATCCTGGCACAGGATGAAGCCATGGGCACACTTGGGAAGCATTCCCAAGTCCTGCCATGGAGGCAGAGGGTACAGGTGCATGGCCACCCTTGGGAAGGGGCGGATGGTGCAGCCTGTGCTGCAGGACCCCATGGCTGGCCCTTACCCCCGGTGCCCTGCTCGCTCACAGCCTCTCTGCTCCCTCCCAGGCGAGGTGGTGGTGAAGTGGTTCGAAGCCATCCAGACGGGGCTGCCCATGTGTGTCCTGGGAGCGGCGTTCGGCCCCATCCACCTCAGCACACGGTAGGCACTCACGGTGGGGATGCGCCAGCCTGGGTGATGCTTCCCGGTGTCCTCCGGGGGTGCAGAGGGGACACTGCTGAGGCTGCAGGGGGGACTCCATCAGGGGTTGTCTTGTGAACCTCTGCTTTGGCAGAGCCTGGTGCTTCGTCTGCTTCCAGCACTGAGTCTCCTGTGCTGGGAAGGGCAATGCCCAGGCCTGGCTGCCCTTGGCTGGGCAGGTATTCAGGGCCAGCAGGACCCTCACCACGCTGATGGCCATTCCCTGCCTGGTGGCCCAGCACAGTCTGGGCATTGCAGAACCTGAGTTCTGGTCTTGGGTTTGCTGCTGACCGTAACCTCCCTGGCACAATGTCCTCTCCAGGGCCTTAGCTTCCCCTAGGAGTTAAGCAGGAGGGTACATGGGACACATGGGTTTGGCCCCTGCCTGCACTGGGGAACTGGAGGAGGGAACCCACCACAAAGCATGGAAATCAGAGCTGTCGCCTCCTGTTCCATTTGCTGCAGGAAGCTGCAGGTCCTGGCCACCGAGCTGGTTCCCTGGGCGATCCGGAGCGGGCGCAACGCCAGCTGCATCCTGAACGTGTACTACGAGCAGCGCTGGGAGCAGCCTGTGGAGTCCCTGCGGGAGGAGATGGGCATCTTCCCTCCCCCGGCCGTGCGTGTGTGAGAGCTCAAGTACAGGGAGGGGACAGGGGATCCCCGTTGGCAGACAGCACCATCCCTGCGTGCTCCATCTCCTCCTGCCCACGAGCGCAGCGGGGCTCTGATTCCAGCCACATGGACCCGAGGGCTGAGGTTTCCCTTGCCAAGAGGCCAGGTGACAAAACTCACCTCTTTTTGCTGTTGGTGACTCAAGGCAAGGCTGTGTTGGTTCCCATGGCAGCAGTGCTCAGGTACTGATGCTCCAGAACGCTGGCATGGGGATGGAGCAGAGCTGGTTTACAACACACTGCAGCAATGCCTTGTCCTCCTGCAGCTCCAGGGCTCAGGATAAATCCCTTCTTCCACTTCCCCTGGGAAGATTCAGGCTTAAAGTCTTGGGGTTGCCCTGGGCTGGAGCTAAAGCAGTGGTTTACAGAGCAGCCCAGGGGCAGGTTTGGTGTGTGCAATAGGGACATCCCATCTTCTGCTGGTGCCTAACTGGTATCCTGACGTGCTTCATGCCTTGGAGATCAGGCAGGGAAATACCTTTGGATATTATCCCTGCTGAATTGGCTGTTCAAGAGCTGATCCTGATCTGCCATGTCCCCCCCCCATCAGAAATGCTGAAATCCACGTGCTTGTGCTGGGTTTTCAGTAGGAATCAGCCCTTCCTTGGCCAACAGAATGATGTGATTGGGAACAAGGAGCTGAATCCTGAGGGTGCAGAAACGGCGGCTGCTTGTGCAGCATCAGGGAGCTGATTGCTGTCTGGGTTAACTAAAGAGGGCTCCAGCAGCAGGGTGCAGAGCTGTGGGATGCGAGGGCATGGAGCCACACAGCCAAGGGCTCTTCATTCGTGTGGGTTTGCTGTCGAAACTCCGTCTTGCTTAATAAAAGCCAATGTGGAGCTTGTGGTTCCGTACTCATCTCCTTCCACCCCGTCTCCCTTTCTCGGGGGAGATCTGATGTGGAACCTTGCCCCGTTCTGGCTCCAGCTGAGTCTGCTCTTTGTCTGCGGTGGTGGTGGATGGCTTGGGTGCATGGCTGCACCGATGGGGATGGGATACAGGATGGGCTGTGGGGATGTGTCTTTCCACCTGGGGCAGGCGCAGGGGCTGACTGCAGCCAGGGGTTTGCTCCCTCCCAGGAGGTTTAGGTGCAGGCATTGGGATACAGAGGCTTGCTTCCTTCCTGCACCCCCAACTCCCTGTTTTCACCTTCCATCCCTGTCCCCATCAGCCAGACTTTGTGTTTGCCTCCAAGGCTCGTGCCTTTCTTTCGGCCTCTGGGGTTGTTTCGAGCAGATCATAAAGGATCTCATATAAACACATCCTTCAGCTGCTGCTAACACACAGCGTGGTGCTTGTCCTATTGCGCTGGTCGAGATGAAAAGAACCGTTTAGCCCTAAACCAACCCGGAAACGTGCTGCTCCGCACCAGACACGTGTCGGAGCTTTGGGGTGATTCAAACCGAAGGGCAGCAAAGCTCCGCTGCTTCCAAGGGCCGAGAGCAGCACAGGCAGCGCAGGAAACGATGGCTGGGAGAGGGTTTTTGCTGCACTCGGGGTTCGTGCATCCCTCGCGCAGCCGCGGGTGGCTGGTGACGGGTGCCAGCGCGTCAGCAATGGCACAGCATGTAAATGGGACTGCGTCTGCTCAGCCCCAGCGCTTCACCGCTCCCGTTTGCCGCAACCGTCGCTTGTCGAGCCTGCCCAAAGAAGGCAACGGGGGGGGGGGGGACACACGGGGGTTTTGGCAGGTTGGACGCAACCCATGTGAAAACGCTGCTATGGGGAGGGGTGTGTTTGCCGTGGACATGCGGCAGCTCCATCACCACCACCAGCAGTGGTCGGTGCTGGCGCTGCTGGACCCGTTTTGGGGCTGTGATAGCAATAATAACGGAGCGGTGGCGATGATGCTGCTCAACGCATGGACCCACCGGGATCGATGCGCGTTTACGGATAACCGGGAGAGCCATGCCCGGAGCTCCTCTCCCCCTGTCAGCGTTATGGGGCCCACCGGGCTCTTTGCGGCGGCAGCGCCCGGCGGTTCCGTCTCCCCCGCCGTCCTCCGTGCTGCAGTCGCGGAACCCCGAGAGCGATCCCCGCGGCCCGGCGGCAAAACGCGACTCTGGTGGGACTCGAACCCACAACCTTTGAATGACTCCCCTCTCACACACGCTAGAAGTCCAATGCGCTATCCATTGCGCCACAGAGCCGTCCGTGTGCGCGCTCCCCTCGCCGCCTCCTCCTGCCGCACCGCCCCACGCCCCGCCCCGCCGCCGCCGCCGCCGTCCGGGCCCGCACCCTCCGCCGCGGGGCCGCACCGGCAGCACCGGGCGGGACTACAACTCCCGGCGGGCCGCGCTGCTTGCTCCGCCCCGCCCCGTGCCGCAGCGGCGGGCGGGCCCCGCTCCCGCTCCCGGCCCCGCTCCCGGTGCAGGTTGCCGGGCCGCAGCGGACCGCCCGGAGCCCGGTAAGAGCGCGGCACCGGGTTTACCCCTTCCTCCCCTCCAACACCTCCCGGCTCCGCTCCGCTCCGACCGCGCTGCCTCTCCGCGGGTGCTCGGGCGGGGCCGCCGCGGCCCACGGTGTCCCCGTGAGGCGCCGCGGCCCTGCGGGCGGTACCGGAGCCTTTCCGAGCCTCGATCTCCCCGTAAAGCGGCGCGGCCCTTGTCTGCGGGGATCCCCCCCCCCCCCTCCGGGGCCTGGCCGGGGTTGGGGGAGCAGGGACCCGGTGTGGGGCCCGCATGGGCCTCCCAGTCCTGCAGCCCCCATCGGATGGGATTGGGGGGGGGGTGGGGTGAGGCAGGGCCGGGTCCCTCCCGTTTGCCCTTCCCCGGGGGCGGAGGGCTCATCCCCATCACCGTGCCAGGACACGGTCGCCGCCCATCTGCTGGGGCTGGGGGGATCCCCCCGGAGGCTTCTTGGGTCTTGTGCCCGTCACTCCCCGCCTTTGGCTCCCCGGAGGCTCCTCACCGTGCCCGCGGGCGATGGATCCCTGCGGTTTGCGTTGTGCCCGCTGGAAGCCACGGGCAGGTCTTTAATCGTGCCTGTGCTGATGCAGGCAGACAAGCGCTGAATCCCTACCGGCGGGGCAGGGCCCTGCGGTAACACCGGTTACCCACGGGAATCCGCCGTCGGGAACGTCTCGCCGCCCATCACTCGGTATTGCGCCGGTTATCTCCCGGCGGGAGGCACCGGGCACGCCGGTGTGAGGCACAGATGTGAGAGCGGGATAACGAGGGCCTGTCTGGGCCCGTTTGGCCTTCCAGTGGGAGATTAAAAGCACCTTGCTGCCCACATGGAGCGTGGCCACCCCGCTGTCGGCTCTCTATGGGTGGCTGCTTGATGGGAGCGTGTAGCACTCAATGGGGTCTAAGAGATGCTCTGTTTCATCGCAGGGAGAAGCCCCTGACGTCCCACGGCACAGCCCCACAGGCTCTCAGCACCGCATCTGCGGTGCTGAGAGCCTGTGGGGCTGTGCCGTGGGACATCAGGCCTGGGAGGTGATGGAGGGACCCATGGGCAGGGGCTATGGGTGGCCCCACGTGGCAGCATCATTCTATGCTGTGGTGCTGGTGCTGAGCCACGCGTGTGACATGCCAGGGCACGGTGACCACGTGGCGCTGCCTCGGCTCCCACCCACCGGCATCAACTGCCTGGACCCGGGGGGAGCCGCATGGGGCAAAGGGGGGGAAGCCACAAGCGTGGCTCCGGGCACCACAGCCTATGGGGATGATGGCTTCAGAGCAGTGAATCCCCATCAGAAGGAAAGGGAAATGACGTTGAGTGTTTCCTTCCTCTTCGGCTGGCGTCCATGCCAGGAGGGACCCGTTTGATCGAGGAGCCCTGGAGTTGTGAGGGTCACATCGTTGCCACTTGCCCCTGCATGATGCTGGGCAGCTGAACAGACCCTTTGCTGGGCCATGGTCTCCTGCGAGTGTCAGAGCCACATCTGGGGGTGTTCGGGGTGGGGACAGAGGTACCGGTTCAGGGGGGTGTGTGTCAGACCTGTGTTGTTACACAGAGCATGGGGTGTGGGTCTGGGATGCTCAGGATGTTCTGCCCTGGTCAGAGCATGTCTGTGCCTGGCTTCATCCCCAGCCTGCTCTGGCAGCGTCTCCAGCAGAGCTGCTCGCTGACACGAGGGTTTGCAAACACAACCAGAGCTCAAAGGACCCAAGTTTCCTGTCCCTGTTCCTGTGCTGGGGAGCGTGCAAAGCTGCGCTCTCCCACCACCCGTGCAGGAGAGCTGATGCTGGGAGACCTGGGCTATGGGCACAAGAGGGATCCTTGGGATAGGGAAGAACTGGGAGCCAGGCTGGGAGTGATGGGCTGAGCCAGCCCTGCCTGGCATCACCCTGCTGCCTTCCAACCACCTGTACAAGGTCTCCTGGCATGGCTCCGCTCCCGCATCCATGAAGTGACTTCATCCTGCAGCTCACGCTGCCGGGGCGCAGCCCTGCCCCTGGCTGGTGTGCAGGATGTGGCTCTCCAGGTGGGAATAGCCGGGCTCTGAGCTGGCACCAGGCAGTGCCATCCTGGCAGCTCCACTGGAGGCTGTCCCCAGGGCCCCATGAAGCTCTATGGGAGCTCTGTGCTGCTGGGCTGTGTCCTTGCTGCCAGCAGGAGCCATGACTCAGGGACCTCATCCAGGAAACCGGGGGCTGTGAACGAATCCCCCGCCCATGGGTTTGTTATCCCCAAGGTTGATGGCCGTGGTTCCTCTCCCCACAGGCCACGATGCTGCGCCTGGCTGCCTTCGCAGCGCTGCTGCTGTTCTTCAGGGTCAGCCTGGAGCTGTCCTGGCTCCAGGCCATCCCTGCTCTCTTCATCTTCTACCTGGGATCCGGCGGATGGGACTTCTTCCTCATATTCATCAAGACCATACGAAGGGATGTCCAGTAGGTGTCCTGGCTGGGGTGGCCCCAACCAACCGCCCTGCCCCAGTATATGCGTGAGCACAGCCTCCAGGTCCTTGCAGAGCCCCGGGTTTCAGCTGGCACCTGGAAGGAGATCTGCCCGTGCCAGGCCCAAACTCTGGGGCAAACTTAGCAGGAAGGATCGATTTCAGCTGAGCTCTGAAGCCTGGTGCCTGTCCTTGTACTTCACCCTGTCCCTAAAGCTGCTGGCGTGGCACCAAGTGCCTGGGCAGGGTTGGTTCCGAGTTGGTACCGGGCTGTGCCAGCTCCTGGCAAGGGCGTGTGGGAAGGGAGCGGCAGCACCTCCAGGAGAGCACTTGAGGCTCAAAGATGCCCTTTTGATTGGGGAGGTCCCTGTCTGCAGCCATCCAAAACACATCGCTTCCTGGCTATGAGCATCTACGCACATGAGCTCTGCCTTTGTCCTTGCCGCTCGGGGGAGCACCCTGGCGCAGCTCATGTGCAGGTCCTCACGCTGTGCTGGCTTTGCTGGAGGGGAACGGTTTTGCAGGGCTCACTGAGCAGCTGCCCTCTTGCTCCCTTTGCTTTGGCAGCACGGGGCTGGTGCTGCTGCGCGTGAAGTGCCAGGTATGGAAGCACGTGCGGGAGAAGAACACAATCGCCAAGATCTTCCAGAAGACAGCGAGCAAGTACCCGGAGAAGACGGCTCTGATCTTCCAAGGCACGGGCGAGAGCTGGACCTTCCGGCAGCTCGATGAGTACTCCAACAGAGTGGCCAACTTCTTCTACAGCCAAGGCTTCCGCTCGGGGGATGTGGTGGCTCTCTTCATGGAGTCCCGCAATCAATACGTGGGGCTGTGGCTCGGGCTGGCCAAGATTGGGGTGGAAACGGCCCTTGTGAACTCCCACCTGCGCATGGAGGCCTTGCTGCACTGCGTCACCATCTCCAACTCCAAGGCTGTGGTGTTTGGGGTGGAGATGATGGAAGGTGAGGGGCAAGGGCTTGGGGCTGGAGGGTGGCTGTGTCTGTGGGTTTAGTGTTCCTTTCCTGCCCACCACAGAGCAGGGATTTGGAAGAGGGTGGACAGTTGGATTATCCAGGTCCCCTTGGATATGGAGCTCAGGGCTGTCTGACTCCCAAGCAGCTATCCTGGGCGTGAGGATCCTTCCTTGTGGTCCATTCCCTGCATGGAATCCTGGGCTGGGCTCCCCTTGCTCTCCATAGCTTTCAGCCACATCCCTGCTGCTCGGCTCCAGCTCCTCATGCGTTTCAGCCCACGCCTCTGAGGTTGATAATGTCAACAGACCTCTTGGCACCAAAGAGGTTTTGGCTGGGGAGAGGTGGGGAACAGGATCTTCTGGTCCCTGAAGAGGCCTGGGCTGTGGCCACAGCATCAGTTAATCATGGGAACGACACCCACCTGAGGTGGATGTCAGCCCTTTGGGGACCCCGCTGAGCACAGCGAGGGTGCTGCTGCCTGGGAGGGCAGGGGTCTCTGTGCTGTAACCACCCTGTGGTCCTCCTCCATCTCTCCTCTTTACTTCCTCAGCAATGCAGGAAGTGCAGCCCTCCCTGGAGAAATCCATCCACCTCTACTGGTCCGGGGAAGGGAGCCCCGAGTCTGCGCTTCCTGGTGCGAAACATGTGGACCCCCTCCTACAGATGGCCCAGAAGCACCAGCCCACCCCGCCTGATAAAGGCTTTCTTGGTACGTGGTCAGCTTTTGAGGGCCAAGCTAGTGATGGTGTTCTGTGGATCGGCCAGTTTCAGCACTGACAGCAGTGTCTGCTGGGGATGCCAATGGCAGACGTCTGCAGCAGGGCATGGGGTGTTCAGGATGGGTCTTGCTCTGGTGTCTGTGCCCTCCATGTGTCTGTCAGACCCATCTGCCCAGGGTGACCCCGTATGTTCTTGGTGCTGTCACATAAAGTTCTGGCTCAGGAGCCACAAGCAGAGTGTGGCAATCTGCCTTGTCCCCCCCTCCAAGCCCAGCCAGCTCCTCGATGGTGTCTGTGACCTTGTCTCCTCATTGCTCTCCAGATAAACTCTTCTACATCTACACCTCTGGCACAACGGGGCTGCCCAAGGCTGCCATTGTGGTGAACTGCCGGTAAGACCATGGGCTTGAGGGGCTCCAGGGAGGACGGGGCTGAGCTCTGCCCTGTTGCAGCACAGCACCTCTGGCCCTGCTGCTGATGTGCCTCTCTCTTCACCCTCCTCCCCAGGTACTTCCGCATGTCCAGCCTGGTTTTCTACGGTTTCCGCATGAGGCCCGATGATGTGATGTACGACTGCCTCCCGCTCTACCACGCTGCAGGTACCTGTGCCATGGCTCCATGGCTCCCTGCCTCAGGCTGCAGGCTGCTGTAGCAGCGGTCTCCAGTTGATTGCTGATGGTGGTGTCTGAACAAGGCTTTGTGCTTGTTCCCTGGGAGCCAAGAATCGCTCTGGCTGACCTTTGGAGTGGGGAGTGAAAGCGGTGTGGAGGGGTGTGTGTGTTATCCCAGCTCCTAGGCTGGCTTTCTATCTGCTCCTTATTGCTGCTCCCCATGGGAAGTCAAGGGGAAGGGAAAGCAGAGTCTGCCTCACTGGCTGAGATGTGCTGGGATGTCTGGGTGCAAAGCACTGCCCCATATCCCACTGCCACCCATCTCCTCCCCAGTACCTGTGGTCCGGGGGGCTTTGGCGATGTTGAGCACCCATCAGATGCAAGCCAGAGTGTGGCATCCACCTTGCCCTGCCGGGCCTCTCCCCGAGCAGGCTGGGCTGGATGTGTCTGGGGACTGAGGGCTCCTCTGGCTGCCTCCCTGCAGGGAACATCGTGGGGATCGGGCAGTGCCTGCTGCAGGGCATGACCATTGTCATCCGCAAGAAGTTCTCGGCCTCGCACTTCTGGGAGGACTGTGTCCAATACAACTGCACGGTGAGGCCGTGGGGCGAGGGGCCGGTGGGGAGCGGGGAGTGGAGCATCTGTGCCATGCTGGGGACAGGGGAGGCCTGTCCATCCCAAACCACCTTCCCTGGCTGTTCATCCCACCTGGGGTTGTGTTGAAGCCCTTCGCATGCTCCAGCATTAGCCAGGGGGTCTTGGGTATGTGAGGGCTCCCAGTGAGTGTTTCCCCTCCGTCCACCCCAGATTGTGCAGTACATCGGGGAGATCTGCCGCTACCTGCTCAACCAGCCCTACCAGGAGGCAGAGCGGCAGCACCGGGTGCGCATGGCGCTGGGCAACGGCCTGCGGGCTTCCATCTGGAGGGAGTTCATGGCCCGCTTCGGCATTGCCCAGGTAGCAGAGTTCTACGGGGCCACCGAGTGCAACTGCAGCTTGGGAAACTTCGATAACAACGTAAGGCCCCACCGCCCTCCCCGTGACCCAGAGGGTGCCCGCTGGGCTGGGCAGGGCTGGAAACCCTGCTCCTGGTGTTCTGCTCCAGGAAGCTCAGTGTGGGCTGCTCTCCACCCGCAGGGGTTTGGGTGGTGGTGTGTGATGCCAGCTCGCTGGTATCCTGGATGTGTGTGGGCAGCAGCCTCAGGGCAGTAGAGATGTCCTTGCTACCCACAGCTTTGAGCTCTTCCTGTTGTAGGTTGGGTCATGCGGCTTCAACAGCAGGATCCTGCCAGGTGTGTACCCCATCGGCTTGGTGAGGGTGGATGAAGACACCATGGAGCTGATCCGGGGACCAGACGGTGTCTGTATCCGCTGCAAGCCAGGTGAGGCAACTACAGGGATAAATCATCTCAGCCCTGTTCAAGTCTTCCCTGTTCAAGACAATTTACCTGGCTCTGAGACTCTCGTAGTTAAACCCCACCAGCCCTATTGGACACACTCGTAGCTCATAGGAGCCTTCCAGTATCTGAAGGGGGCCTATAGGGATGCTGGGGAGGGACTCTTCATTAGGGACTGCAGTGACAGGACAAGGGGTAATGGGTTAAAACTTAAACAGGGGAAGTTCAGATTGGATATAAGGAGGAAATTCTTTCCTGTTAGGGTGGTGAGGCACTGGAATGGGTTGCCCAGGGAGGTTGTGAATGCTCCATCCCTGGCAGTGTTCAAGGCCAGGTTGGATGAGGCCTTGGGTGATAGGGTTTAGTGTGAGGTGTCCCTGCCCATGGCAGGGGGTTGGAACTGAATGATCTTAAGGTCCTTTCCAACCCGAACTATTCTATGATTCTATGCTTGGGTGCAGGCGGTTGCGCCTCCCTTCATCCACTCCTTTCCCCCTGCAGGGGAGCCAGGGCAGCTGGTGGGCCGCATTGTCAAGAGCAACCCCTTCCAGCACTTCGATGGCTACCTGAACAAGTCAGCCACCAACAAGAAGATCGCCAGGGACGTGCTTGCAAAAGGGGACACTGCCTATCTCACGGGTGAGGCAAGCAGGCAACCCAGGAGAAGGGTACCTGGATGCATGTGGGGCTGGTCCAGGCTAATGGCACTGCCCTGAGATGCACCAGGGTTGCTTTTAACCCCTTCGACACCCAAGTTCTTGCTTATTCCTCCCTTTCCTATAGGGGATGTCCTGGTGATGGACAAATACGGCTACATGTACTTCCGGGACCGCACCGGGGACACATTCCGCTGGAAGGGGGAGAACGTCTCCACCACAGAGGTGGAGGGGACGCTGAGCCACATCCTCAACCTGACAGACGTGGTGGTTTATGGGGTGGAGATCCCAGGTAGCTGAGAGGGAAGAGCACAACCAGGGGAGGCAGGCGGGCCTCTGGCACTTGGATGTGAGCGTGTCCTGCACCTCCAGCACTGTGGAGGCTGGAACAAGGCTCCTGTGGGCAAGATGGGGAGAGGCCACTGTGGATGTGCCAAAGGGTTCCCTCCCTCTCTTAAGCTTTTAGTTTGGAAGGACTCTGTGGCCTTTGTGGACTGGTTGCAAGTGCTTCCTGTGGGAGGAGGTGACTGTGATGGCGGGGTGTCACTGATAGCCTTAGCCACAGGGTGGTGACGCAGCTGGATGTGCCAGCACTTCAGGACAAAGCGGGGTCTGTGCCAGAGGCCTTGTTGGTGCGGGGCAGATGGAGATGATGCTCTAAGAACAGTGTGTCTGAGTGTTCTCCCTTCTTCTGTGCCGCTCAGGGATTGAAGGGAAGGCAGGAATGGCAGCCATCGCCGACCCGGAGAACTCCTGTGACCTAGAGGGCTTTGCCAGCAAGCTGAAAAAGGCGCTGCCGCTGTACGCACGTCCCGTCTTCCTGCGGTTCCTGGACAAAGTCTCCAAGACAAGTGAGCCAGAGCGTGTGCATCCCCACTGGGCACGGAGCTGGGGGAGCCTGGGAGGGGAAACAGGTTATGGAGACCAGTGTGTGGTGGTGTCAGGATGCTCCTGTGGTGGTTTGGAGGCGCACGGCTGGGTTTGCTGAGGGTGTCCAGCCAGTGATTCCTCATTCCTTCCTCTCTCCAGGCACTTACAAGTTCCAGAAGGTGGAGCTGCGGAAGCAGGGCTTTGACCCCACGGTGGTGAAGGACAGGTTGTACTTCCTGGACTCGAGGCAAGGTCGTTACCTGCCGCTGGACCAGGCAGCGTTCGACAGGATCCAGTCGGGCCAGCAGAAGCTGTAACCGGTGGGGCTCAAGCAAGGCACCTCCCCGAATCCTGCTGGGGAGAGGGGGGCAAGGCAGGCACAGGGGAAGAAAAGGTTCCAGGAGTGATGTAAAGGCATGCTAGAGATTTTATTTGACGCGTTTCACAGATAATGGTTTGGGGGGAACACAGGGGGACCGAGGGGAGGGGGATGGTTTCATACCAAAGCATAGACTCATTATGGCTTTATTTTCTATTTGGTACAGCGGTGGTGGTCCCGTGCCATGGGAGGGGCAGGACCCTGGCCAGTTAAGGAGGAGTGGGGTGTCCCTGCCATTCCACTTTGCTTTTCCTCTCTTTCCCTCCCTTTTCCTGCCTGCAGCCACCCTTCCTTGTGAAGGCCATGAAGGGACCAGTGCTGGGCTCTTTTCCCCACTCCTCCATCAAGCAGCCAGCTCCTCCTTGGCACAGGGCCCCCAATGGCAGAGGGAAGCTGGGTGCCAGGCACAACCCCTGCCCCCTTGTTGTGTTTCTACTGTGAATCAGGGGAGCAGGGTAGTGCTGGGCTCGGGAGAGGGACAGGGATGTGTTTCTGCCATGCCTTGCTCTCTCCTGGGGGTGACATTTCTATATTTCACAATCACACGCACATTCTGTTCTCTTATATATATATATATATATTATACATGCTGACTTATTATGTTTTTTCATTCTTAATTTATTGTCTGTACTTTTGAATGTGTCCTGGGTTTGTGCAGTAGGTGGAGGAATAGCCCAGACCCGGCCTCTCTTGGGGAGCCCTTTTCTCTCCCAGGGAGACGGGCTGCTCATCTGGGACCGCTTCTCCTCTTCCAGCGTGGATGCAGCTGTGTGTGTCCTTGTGGCCTTGCTCCGTAGTGAAGGACATGAGCGAACCCCACTCTCCTGTGGACACTTCTCTGGGTCTTTTACTTCCACTTTTTGTGGATGCAGCTTTGTTTTGTGCACCTTTTTCCTTGCAGAAAGCAGGTGGGAAAGCGGGAATGAAGGGTCTGGTTTTGCCTTTGCTTAGATGCACTCAGCACCATGGAGCAGCTCTTGGGGCTTTTTCTGCTGGTTGATGTCTGTGCCCTGAACGTGGGAAGCAACTTGCCATGGGGAGAGAGCATCCTCCAGAGGAGGGTGGTCTCTGCGAGAGCCTGACTCCACTTGCTCTGCATCCCTTCCCGCGAGAGCCCTCCCTGTGTGCACTGCAGGAGGTGGTCCCCAAAGTGAAATGTCCGTGTTAAACACCTGACTTTGCGCTACGTGAACTCCCCGCGTTGTGTCTGATGTGAAACGGCCTCAGCAGCGATGGTTCCAGGCCTCGAGGACCATGCAGAAACGTCTGTTCCAGAGAAAACTCTTGGGTTGGGGTTTATTATTCTCCTCCCCCTCCTTTCCCCCCCCCCCCCCCCTTAACGATTTGGTTTTATGCTTTTATCAGGGTTACTCCTTAAAATGATGTCTGTATTTGTGAGGGCAGGGTGTGCCTGCTCTTCCAGCTGTGTTTCCACACCAACGTACCTGCCTGCCCCAGTCTGTCCTGTCCTCACAATTAAATGCGAGTATGGGCTCTGCTGGAGTTTCCTACCTCGTCCTTGCGCAGTCCTGCTCTGTGTGGGGAGCCGAGGGACTGTGCTCCTTTGGGAACTGGGAACTGCTGTTCCACAGCACAACCTCCCTGTGGGGATGTTCACCCATCTCGGAGCAGGGGGAAGCAAGCCCCTTGCTGCTGCATTTGATGACTGTGTGATAACCAGCTCTTCATGAGGCTCTTCCCCACATCCTTCCACTGACTTCCCCTTTATCCTGGCCTGGTTGTCCTGGCCCACTCCCCCCTGTTTACCATGGCCTCACTGGCTCCTTCATACCTCTCCTCTTCTCTTTTCCTGCTGCTTCTCTCTGTGTTTTGGCCATGCTTAACCTCCCAGCTCATTTCTGCCCTCACTGACAAGATTTCTGCTACCCATTCCCCTTCCCTTACTACCAGAACCATCTTTTAGACCCTCTGCATTCAACCTTGGGATGCGAGAAACCGGCTCCTTTGTGGCATGTGTGTACCAGGCATGAGGCTGGGTGAAGCGTGGTGCCTGGTGAGAGATGCTATGGGAAAAGCACTGGAAATCTGCATCCATTTTATACCAGATGCACTTCCAGGCATGTTCGAATTGATGGCTTCTCCAGCATCTCTATGCTAAAAGCTTCAATTTAGCCACTGGATGCAGTGACTGCGGGCAAGACCCATCTCAGAGCTGCATCTGGCCTCTTCTGCAGCCAACTCCAGCTCAGGCTAGGTGAGGGCAAGGAGCATGGAGTGGTGGAGCAGTGTGGTCCAGTACTGCTCCTGGAATGATGCAGCTCTTGGGACAGCCTCTGTGCCAAAGCCTCACCCCGGCTCGGTGGAAAACAGCCTTGTCCCCGTGGCCCTGCAGTGTCCGAGGGCTCAGCCTTCAAACAAGGTGGCTTTGCCACTGGGGGTTATACAGGAGGGCTCCCTCAGAGTATGCAGCAGTGGCTGTGACCTCTGCGGATGCTCCAGTCCCACCTTTCGATGCTGTTCCTCCCGCAGCCACCAGTGGAGGGCAGGCTGGGCTTAGCAAACGTCTCCCCTCAGGGGAGACCTCTTTAGGAGCTCCCTGAGGGGGGTCAGAGCCCTGGGAAGGGGAGGGATTCCCACCATGGGACAGGTCAGGGCCTGTTTTGGGTGCAGGTGTGAGGCCAGCAGCAATCCCGTGCACTGGTGGTCCCCTGGTGAAGAGCTCAGCAGCACCGGGGTCACCTCTGTGCTGGGCATCTGGTGGGCACCAACCCGAGCTGTCCAGCATCACCCAGCCCTCTGCTAAAGGGAAGGGGTGAGAGCTTGGCCTCCCCAAAATCAGCCTTAGGGTTGTTGTCTGGATGTGGATGAAGCGGAGGCTATGGGAGCGCTGTGCTCCCTTCCTGGAAGAGGTGCTGGTGCTGTCCTGCACACAAAGCTGCTCTGAAGGATGAGGGGCACAGGGCAGGGCTCAGTGATGTGCTTTATCTGCCTGAGAGCTGGTTAGGGTGAAAAAGCCAAGCAGATCCTGCATTCAGGGTTTGCAATGGCTTTGGAAGTTTACGGAAGTATGGTTGTTATTTGCATGTATGTAAGCCCATCCAAGTGGAGACCAGCTTGTAATGCTGGGTTTTGGAGATGGGTGGAGATTATAAGCACACCTGAGGCCTGTGAAAGGAGCAGGATTTAGCCCTTGCTGGTACTGACACAACCAAGGGGCTGGGACCTGGCTGGAGCACAGCGGGGAGCTCAGCCCAGGCCCCATGTTACCAGTTGTAGTTAGAGGGTGCAGGCAAGAGGAGCAGGATGTGGCCCCCTCAAGGTGAGAGCTCCTGTTCTGGGGAGATGGGAGGTGCTGAACTGGCTGGGAAAGAGCTCAGCAAACCACATGGGGGGCTGCGATACACGGGCTTTGACAGAGGAGACCTGCAGAGCTCAGGGGTACCCATGCAGCACGGTGCTGTGCTGGAGGAATGGGGTGTGTGTGTAGGCACATCTCTGCCTTGATTGCCCAAGGAGAGGAGAGCCCCATGAAGGTGTGCTGGTAGCTGTGAGGTGATGCTGACAGCCCTGGGGCATCGGGGGGGGGTTAAAAGCAGCATCTCTGGTCCCTGCTGGAGATGTGCTGGGGACAATTCCCTGTTTTCCCTGTGTTTGTCCATGCTGAGGAGGGTTGAGTCGCGCTTGGCAGCGCTTGAGCCTCCCTGCAGAACCCAGCTGCAGCAATTAGAGTTTTCCTGCTGTCAGCTTTGGGTTGAAATCCCGGTGCCTTTTTAATGTCCCAGCTCCTCCGGATAAACGAAGCCTAGGTGCAAGCATCCCTGCAGCTCTCGGGCCAGCAAAGCAAGTGCAGGACTGAGCCTGGGATCAATGCTGGGACAAACCCCTTCCAGCAGAGAAGCCTTTGGACAGAAGCAGCCAGTGCTTGACTGTGCTCTGCTCCTTTCTCATGTCTTTGTGAGATGTTTAAGGAAGGAGCTGCTTCAATCTTTTCCCTATGATTAGAGACACCTTGAGAGACTTTTGTCTCTCCTTTGATCAGCGTGCTCGTCTGGCTCAACAGCTGCGTGCAGATAAAAGCACTATGTATAAAGTACGAGGTATTGTTCTTTTTTAATTAAACTACTTTCAAAGCTGTTTGCATGAGGTTAAGGAAACATCAGGATCCTTTCCTGGGTTGTTATTATTAGCCTATTAATTTACGCAAAGCCTAAGAGCTTTACAAACCAAACGTACTTTTCACCATGGAGATGGCTGCTTCTCCCAGGCTCCGCATCCTGGACAATGACAGGAATACCAAGAAAAACAAGGCTGAAACTTCCTTTCTGCTCAGCAGGCCCAGGTCCAGCTCAGCCAGGCCCTGTTTGCTGTGAAGAAGTGGGGTTTGTTGTAGTTTAAGGTAGGCAGAGGGGTTGCAAACGGCTCAGGACCTTTGTGGGGGAAATCTATGCTGAGAAAGTCCATGAGAGTCTTTAACAGCACTGCCTCCTCCTTGGTGTGCTGGAGGCTTCCCAGACAATGACAGCCACTCCTGCACCCCGAGCTAGCTTTGCCTTTCAGCAGCAACAGGGAAATACTCTGCACTAAAGAAGGGCCTGTCCTTTAGAAATGGAGATACGTGATTCCCATCAGTGGTGCCAGTGGAACCAGGAGTAGGGCCAGGGAGAGCTTTTCCCCCTTCAGTTTGAAGGGGCAGGGGATTCAACCAAAATGATGGTGTGCAGGGAGTGCCTGCACCTCGTCATCCTGGGGAGGGATGGGATCTCCCCTCTGTAAAGCAGGAAGGCTTCACTAGGGAAGCAAGTGTCTTTAGGGCTGTTCATGGCCCAGCTCCTGGTCAGCACAGGATGGTTGGGCCATGCAGCAGTGTGAGGCCTGGGGAGCAGGGGGTGGGACCTGCTCTGCTGTTTTCAAGCCTTGCACGTCTTGTGGCAAGCCCACCTCCCAAAATAATCCAGGCTTTGGCCCTCTTTTCTCCTGCTACCCATAGGCACAAATGATGCCAGGCGAGGCTCTGGGAGAGAGCATGCAATACAGACTGGCAAGCCCAGGAATCACAAGAGAAGGCAATTCTGTTGAGGCTGGGACATCCCCCTACTCAGGAAGGGGATCTGGCCTGGATATCCCCAGATCCCTTCAATAGACAATCCCAGGCTTGTGAAGTGGGATGTGACCCCTATTATACCGCATCCTCCTCCTCCTTATGGCACTGCCATCCCATAGCCCCAACATCAAAGGTGCAGAGCAGCCCTTCCTAGGGATGCCAGCATCTTCCCAGCCAGAGCAGGAGTCAGGGCTCGGTCCTGGGCACTTCCAACCCCCTGCACACCCCAGCCCTGTGCCAGCAGGGCCAAGGGGAGTGACAAGAGGCGAGAACCTTCCTCCTGGCCCCCGGCCATCCAAGTGGCCTCCAGCCTGTCCGCAGGAAGAGGCTAACAGCGGTCGGGTGAGCCACCTCCTCAGCTTTGAGTATCACTTTCAGCTATTCTGAAGGTTAAACGCCTGTTTAGAGCTCCCTATTGACGGTAGGGCCGGGGGTGCAGCATTGTGCAGGCGCCCTCCCGCTTTGTCTGCCCGCTTTCAGGGATGCCCTGAATGGGAAGCGGCCCCCCCGGCCCAGCACCCCGGCAGAAGGGCCGGCTCCTGGGGGAGAGCCGTTTCCTCCCGCCCTTAATGACATTCAGGCCTCCATCGGTTCAGCTCCCGCTTTCTTTCTGCTGCAGTTTAACCCGGGCACAGAGGCCGGGCTCCATCTTACTGATCTCTGCTTGACACCCAATTACCACATGAATGGGAGAGAAAGGCTGCAAAAGGCTTTAACTCCCACTGACCCTCCTTCCCCTCTGCCTGCTTCCCCCCCCTTTTCCTTCTCCCCATCCTACCCCCTCGGTGGAGGGAGTTCAAAACTGAGACGGGGGAAATCAAACAAAGCCCCGAGCGAGGAAACCCATTGTCACCGCCTCCGCCATGGCTCCCCTTTCGCCAGCCATTGTTCGCCGGGCAGTTTGCCTTGCTGTGTGGAAGGATGCGAGCAGCTGTTGGGTGCGTTCCCCTGATGTTTTATGGAGAAATAATGGGATCGTCAGTGTGGTGCTCTGGGATAAAGCGTTTCCTCGTAGCGCTGGGCCTTGTTGTGTTCATAAACCGCGTTATCCTCTAAAACACGATGGAGACCCCAAGAGTCTCCTCCAGAACAAACCCTCAGAGGGGAGATGGAGGCAGGGCCTTCTGCACTCAAAGGGAGAGGAAAAGTGTGCAAACAGCAGGGTTAAAACCAAAGCCAGGGCTGAGACAAAAGGAATTAACCCCCTTTATTGCCAGGCTCAGTTTCCAACCTGTTCCTTTGTTTGAGCACAGTTGGCTTTGCCGGAGCATCCTGCTCGGTTGCTCTATAACCAGGGTGAACACCACAGTGCGCTGGGGATGGCCGGTCCTGCCCAGTGCCATTCCATGCTTGGGACTGAGCGAGGGATCCTCCATGGATAATTGGGTATAAAAAGAGGAGTTTAGCTTAAGTAAAGCACAGTGGCACATCCTTGG